CAGACTAGGCCCTAGGCCTCAGCTAAAATCGTTCTCCAGTGGATCCCGGCTCACTGCTGCATACCAACAAGTGAGTTAGCAGACAGACATGCTAAAAATGGAGCAAAGGAGAAACAACACACCCATTCATTGTCATCACCAGAAATCAGAACACTTATCAAAGGAAAATGCAAGGAATTGAGGAGAGAACAAACTAACAGTAAACATCCACAAGACTCCATCAGCAGACTCAACAGAAAGCAATATACAACAATTTTCCATCTACAAACAGGACACTGCCGGCTCAATTATCACGTGCATAAAATAAAGATTGTACACTCCCCAAGGTGTGCTTGTCACAAGGACCACATTCTGCAGACCTGCCCACTCTACTTACAACTTTGAAAAGACACCTGGCCTGATGAACAAAGTGTGCAGAGCAAGCTATGGGGAACCATGAGGGACCTGCTGCTGACAAACGAGTTAATAGAGGCAAACCACCTGATGGTCTGATATGAGCATACGAAACGAAACGCAAAGAAGAAGAAGAAGAAGAAGAAGAAGAAGAAGAAGAAGAAGAAGAAGAAGAAGAAGAAGAAGAAGAAGAAGAAGAAGAAGAAGAAGAAGAAGAAGAAGAAGAAGAAGAAGAAGAAGAAGAAGAAGAAGAAGAAGAAGAAGAAGAAGAAGAAGAAGAAGAAGAAGAAGAAGAAGAAGAAGAAGAAGAAGAAGAAGAAGAAGAAGAAGAAGAAGAAGAAGAAGAAGAAGAAGAAGAAGAAGAAGAGAAGAAGAAGAAGAAGAAGAAGAAGAAGAAGAAGAAGAAGAAGAAGAAGAAGAAGAAGAAGTAGAAGAAGAAGAAGAAGAAGAAGAAGAAGAAGAAGAAGAAGAAGAAGAAGAAGAAGAAGAAGAAGAAGAAGAAGAAGATGAAGAAGAAGATGATGAAGAAGAAGAAGAAGAAGAAGAAGAAGAAGAAGAAGAAGAAGAAGAAGAAGAAGAAGAAGAAGAAGAAGAAGAAGAAGAAGAAGAAGAAGAAGAAGAAGAAGAAGAAGAAGAAGAGGAAGAAGAAGAAGAAGAAGAGGAAGAAGAAGAAGAAGAAGAAGAAGAAGAAGAAGAAGAAGAAGAAGAAGAAGAAGAAGAAGAAATTTCTTTTCCCCCTAGGGGTGGGTTCTCATTTTAGCATTTACAAAAATAGACCTTACTCCCTAACAATCATGTCATAAGAGTCGACTTGGTAGAAGTTCCTTGGAAGTTGGAGTGCTACTGTCTGAGAGGCAAGGAACCAACAGTCTGCCAGAGTAAGCCAGATCTGTAAAACCGCTGTGCACGCCATACTTATGTTATAGGACAATACTAAATTCCAGAAATGGACCAACTACCAGAACTTTCCGCCGGAGTTTACAACTGGTGAACGCAAAGGGAAGAATTGTTTTGAGTAAACAGAGGGCGAATTATGACGCGTGGACTTCACACGATCTCTGCAATACTGCCCAGGCTTTGTGTAAAAGTAAAAGACAAATTCATCCCTTGCCTTTACTGGTTTTGGAAACAAATCGAGAGGCAGCAGTTAATAGTCAACCCCGTCTATGGTGCAAAACAGATGGGTAGAAATTGTCTAAGTCAACCTCTAAGGGTATAAAAATGTGCGCAAGAGGGGCATGAATGATACAGGGGTTATGGTTGATTCCTGGGAGCAGCATACCACAGATTGTGGTGCATGAAGGTCGACAGTCAGGAAATGGATAGGAAGACAGGATAAACTGACTAGAGACTGATTGAAAGCTGTGCTACTGAGATTAGGCATGTTAACTACACGCGATGTTGTGGTAGTGCTGAATTCCCGCGCTCTAATTCTGGAAGACTTTCCTTATTATGAATGGGTCTTGCTGGTCGCATTCACCATCGCCACGGATGTGATTCCATGTCTTTCTATAGCATAATATAAAACTATCGTCTGAAGAGAGAGAAAGGTACTAGCAATAGTATGGCTTAGATAACCTAATGTCAGCATCATTTTTTGTCAGAGATTTTTACAACGAAATGACATTCCACCAAGCTAGCTAGTCAGTCAGCCAACCAGCTTAATAGCCAGTCTAAACAAGTCAGTCAACCAACCAGCCTAATAGCCAGTCTAAACAAGTCAGTCAACCAACCAGCCTAATAGTCAGTCTAAACAAGTCAGTAGCCAACCAGCCTAATAGCCAGTCTAAACAAGTCAGTCAGCCAACCAGCCTAATAGTCAGTCTAAACAAGTCAGTCAACCAACCAGCCTAATAGCCAGTCTAAACAAGTCAGTCAACCAACCAGCCTAATAGTCAGTCTGAACAAGTCAGTAGCCAACCAGCCTAATAGCCAGTCTAAACAAGTCAGTCAGCCAACCAGCTTAATAGCCAGTCTAAACAAGTCAGTCAGCCAACCAGCTTAATAGTCAGTCTAAACAAGTCAGTCAGCCAACCAGCTTAATAGCCAGTCTAAACAAGTCAGTCAGCCAACCAGCCTAATAGCCAGTCTAAACAAGTCAGTCAGCCAACCAGCTTAATAGCCAGTCTAAACAAGTCAGTCAGCCAACCAGCTTAATAGCCAGTCTAAACAAGTCAGTCAGCCAACCAGCTTAATAGCCAGTCTAAACAAGTCAGTCAGCCAACCAGCCTAATAGCCAGTCTAAACAAGTCAGTCAGCCAACCAGCCTAATAGCCAGTCTAAACAAGTCAGTCAGCCAACCAGCCTAATAGCCAGTCTAAACAAGTCAGTCAGCCAACCAGCCTAATAGCCAGTCTAAACAAGTCAGTAGCCAACCAGCCTAATAGTCAGTCTAAACAAGTCAGTCAGCCAACCAGCCTAATAGCCAGTCTAAACAAGTCAGTCAGCCAACCAGCCTAATAGCCAGTCTAAACAAGTCAGTCAGCCAACCAGCCTAATAGCCAGTCTAAACAAGTCAGTCAGCCAACCAGCCTAATAGCCAGTCTAAACAAGTCAGTCAGCCAACCAGTCTAATAGCCAGTCTAAACAAGTCAGTCAGCCAACCAGCCTAATAGCCAGTCTAAACAAGTCAGTAGCCAACCAGCCTAATAGTCAGTCTAAACAAGTCAGTCAGCCAACCAGCTTAATAGCCAGTCTAAACAAGTCAGTCAGACAACCAGTCTAATAGCCAGTCTAAACAAGTCAGTCAGCCAACCAGTCTAATAGCCAGTCTAAACAAGTCAGTCAGCCAACCAGCCTAATAGTCAGTCTAAACAAGTCAGTCAGCCAGCCAGCCTTATAGTCAGTACAAACAAGTCAGTCAGACAACCAGCCTAATAGCCAGTCTAAACAAGTCAGTCAGACAACCAGCCTAATAGCCAGTCTAAACAAGTCAGTCAGCCAGCCAGCCTTATAGTCAGTACAAACAAGTCAGTCAGACAACCAGCCTAATAGCCAGTCCAAACAAGTCAGTTAGACAACCAGCCTAATAGCCAGTCCAAACAAGTCAGTCAGACAACAAGCCTGATAGCCAGTCCTAACAAGTCGGTTAGACAACCAGCCTAATAGCCAGTACAAACAAAGTCAGACAACCAACTCACTAGCCATCCAACCAACTATTCAACCAAACGACAGACTAACTAGCCAGCCACGGGCCAATCAGAAAACTAATTGATTAGCCAGTCACTAAACAGCCAACCACCCAATTAAACAATTAACTGACTAGCCAGTCACCACCCAGTCAACCACACAATCAAACAACTAACTGACTATCCAGTCACCACCCAGTCAACCGACTGATGAATCAACTAACTTACTAGGTAGTCACCCAGCCAACCAACCAATCAAACAACTAACTGACTATCCAGTCACCACCCAGTCAACCGACCGATGAACCAACTAACTTACTAGGTAGTCACCACCTTGCCAACCAACCAATCACACAACTAACTGACTAGCCAGTCACAACTCAGCCAACTAACTAATCAAACAACTAACTGACTAGCCAGTTACCACCCAGCCAACCAACTAATCAAACAACTATCTGACTCTCCAGTCACCACCCTGCCAACCAACCAAACAAACAACTAACTGACTAGTCAGTCACCACCCAGCAAACCAACTAATCAAACAACTATCTGACTGTCTAGTCACCACCCAGCTAGCAAACCAATCAAACAACCAACCCACCAAGCCTCTTCAAAAACTCTAACTAAAGCATTTATTCACAGTCGCTATTTTCCTTTTAATTACTTTTAACACAGGCAATCTTAATGTGCAATTCCGAAGAGTGGTGGTTTCATTATTCGCAATCTTTGTTCCCCCCCCCCCCACCCCTTTTTTTTTTACCCCACCCCATCCCCCAATGTTTCGAGTGGAAAAGGGGAGGAGGAGCTCAAGACGCCTGAACCCCCTAGATTACGACGTCCATGCATGCCTTGCATCTCATTTTTCTGGGTACTTATCCCTTTGTCTTTTATTTTTTCACCTCTCTCACTTTCAATATTGCGCCGTCTCTCCACAATTTAGCATAGCTTCACTAGATCTCCTACTTTTCTTGTTTTTGTTAGGACACACTCTCGTATGGCTGTTCGTTTATCTCTTGATGTTGTCGTCCATAACATGCTTTATTAGTAAAATACAACTGCTGTGCGAAAGATAGTTGACTGGAAGGATCGAATATAAGACGGGCCTGCGTGCCCAATTTGTGACCCTTTGAAAATAAAGTTCGTTCGTTCGTTCGTTCGTTCGTCCTTCTTGAATCGTTGTCTGCCTCTTGCTCTTTTTCCTTTTTATTTTTTCATCAAAGAGGAGTATTGTTTAAAATTCCCTCTCTAACTGTATCTTTCTATATATCTTTGTATCTGCACCCTTTTCCATTTATTCTCTCCCATCCTCTCTCTCTCTCTCTCTCCCATCCTCTCTCTCTCTCTCTCTCTCTCTCTCTCTCTCTCTCTCTCTCTCTCTCACACACACATTATTCATATTACACGTGTTACTGATTCATGTTAAGATGTCTTGACTTCACTCAATGCACGATCACTAACACAGCTTGTTTCCTATTGCAGCTTCATGATGGTCCTCGTCTGCCTTATATTCAGCGTGTTGTCAACCATAGACCAGTATACAGACTTTGCCATGGAAACCTTGTTTTGGATGGTGAGTGTCCCGCCACGTATCTGTAATAACGATAACAATGGGCAATACTTCCTTTACTGTGTCTTCGCAAACTGTTGTCGCAAACCTTTATTAGTAGTAGTGTTGCTACTGTTGTCGCAAACCTTTATTAGTAGTAGTGTTGCTACTGTTGTCGCAAACCTTTAGTAGTAGTAGTGTTGCTACTGTTGTCGCAAACCTTTAGTAGTAGTAGTGTTGCTACTGTTGTCGCAAACCTTTAGTAGTAGTAGTGTTGCTACTGTTGTCGCAAACCTTTATTAGTAGTAGTGTTGCTACTGTTGTCGCAAACCTTTATTAGTAGTAGTGTTGCTATTATTTATTGATTGATTGATTTCAACACCCCCTTATCTCCCTTAACAGTTAGTGCTTTTTGTGTGTAGCTGCTAAACGCTGGTCTGCGGATTGGTGTGTCCTTGGTTCGGGTCCTGAAGGAGCCGGATTTTTTTTAATGACGAGGTCGACCCAGCCTTAAATAGGTATTAGGTATATTCAAGGGGAAGTAAAGGCGGGTATTGTCCGCATCACGAACCGACTGCCAGTAGGTCTTTCAAAAAAAAAGTATATCCCTATATGCCCAATAATCTGAGGGCGCGGAAAGAGGTCCATCATTTGACTAATACTTTTCAAAGAAGTCCATTACTTTACTAATGCTTATCTGCCTTAACTCTTTCGGTTCCACTTCAAAATTACTTTAAATCAAGTCCGGTCCCGAGAAGTTTCAAATGTTAAAACTCAGCTTCTTCGTGGTTTATTAAGATGAATCAGGACTGCAGAGTCCCAAAGAGCATCCTTTATGGTGAATACCAGAATGGTAGAAGATGTCGCGGTCGGCGTCTACTACGACATGAAGATGCGTGTAAGCGGGACACAAAAGGTACTGAGGTGGGTGTCATGGGAACATGATGCAATAGGCCGTGTTGCATGCAGGGGGACAATCAGAAATGTAGAATGTTTAATTAGGAATTGACATCAGAGCACTCGGGCACTCCCATAAGCGCTCCGTTTCCATCTTCAGCAGTAAAGAGTTCCAATTCCGATGGTACTAGTAACTGTCCAAATTGTACATCCGTCTCGCCTTTCCATTGAGTGTTGAGCGTCGGCAAGATCCCCAGATAACTCCCCGCAGCGCCATTCTCCCCAGACCATAATGATCTATTTGTGCCTCCTCAATGTTCACTCGCTACCAAAGGGCTCGCACAACATTCATTAGAAATCAGGGCTAAAGGGGGAGGGGTAAACTGCAGATAGATTCGTGGCTTAGCGCACGAGAAGACGCTACATTCAAAACTGCAGATAGTTTCAGAGCTTAGCGCCTGAGAAAAAACACGCTACATTCCTGGAATAGCAACAATAGTCATGAAATATTATGGTCTTATTGTGGCAGACTTCTTTAACACGAGCTGGCTTTACTAGTTACACTCGCCGTCGCCATAAGATATTATTCCTATATCTCACTGTATCTCTCTTCTTCTTCTTCTTCTTCTTCTTCTTCTTCTTCTTCTTCTTCTTCTTCTTCTTCTTCTTCTTCTTCTTTTTCTTCTTCTTCAGCATTCCGAGGTGTTGAGGTTCATCGCTGCAAATTTTACTCGCCTAATTCATCTCTTTTGTTGGCCTTGTCTTTCCAGTTGGTGACACCAAATGTTTGCAGGTCTGTCTGGACATTAACTCTCCATCGTCTTCTCGTGCTTCGTGGTTAACGAGCATTTATCTCCTTGGTGTATACAGTTTTCACATCTGTCATCTGACGTTTTCTCAATATGCCCCAGCCATTTCAGTCTATTAGCTCTCATGATACCAGTTATCAAAGGTGATTTAAACAGATTATGAATTTCGTTGTCTCTTCTCACTCTTCTCATGAAAAAAAAAAAACTATGTCGTCAGAACCAAATCAGAAAGATGCCAGCAAAAATGGTTGACTGGTCAACGAATCTTCTTATCATTCTGTCGTGTGGCGTTCATCGTCAGATCTCTCCATAGCCGTCTGCTTCGTGTTCAGTTATTTCTGATTTTTGCCCCGTGTGGCTTACGGGATCCCATTTTGAGGAAAAGGACAATAAGTAAGAAGAATTTCCACAGGGGAGCAAGTACAGCAGGGATCTATCAATCGTCAGTAGAAGTAATCTCTCGTCGACAAACGTTTCAGCCCACGAGCTCCTAGACGTTTTCAGGTTAGGATAGACTGCATCCCTTTACATGCATGTCGTAAGAGTCGACTAATTGTTAGTTGCTTCGTAGCCAGAGTGCATCAGCATGAAAAGCAGGAAAGCAACAGTCTGCATACAAATAAACTTGCTCTGTAAAACGGATGTGCACGAAAAACTAAAGTTCAGGAACAAGATTAAAGCCTAAAGGTAAACGAACAACCAGAACTTTCCACTGGAGTTTACAGCGGGTCAAAGCAAAGTAGAAGAAGCAGATTTTTGATGTAGACGTTTTTCAGTTCATTCTTTCAGCATCCTGTTGTGCATTATATGTCACATAGGGCTCGCATTGTATTTCTCCATTCAGTTCTCTCCTGTGACACTCCTTAGATATCATGGATGGAATCTAGGGCAGCACCGTTGGCCTCTTTTATCAACGTTGATCCTAGGGTTTTTTATAGAACCTCATCGTATCTCCAGTCTCTTGATTTCCTATTTCAGTGCAAGTTTGGTAAATCTCTGTTCGTCTCTTCAATCAGTTTTAGGTACTCTTTATGCCTAGTAGCACACGACGCTTCAGAGAGGACTTTCTATGCTTTCCTGTCCTGTGCAATCTTTAGTCTAGTTGTGCATGTCAGAGATGCAGCACTCAGTTCACTTTCCCTCGTTTATTTCCATGTTGTTGTTTTTTTTCTCTTCTCTTTCCTCTGGTGTCCAAGCGAGAGCTGTTTTGGCAGGTATATCAGGATTCATTCTCACAACGTGGCCAAGCCAAGCCATTTTTGATAATTCTACCTAGACATGGAAAGTCGCCGTGGCGTAGCGGCTAGAGGCTTGCGTGCGTATCGGAAGGTCGTGGGTTCGCTTCCAGGCGGAGCCGGACTCTTTTCAAAAATAACCTTAACTCCCAGGTCGACCCAGCCTTGAGTGGGTAACGGGTGCAGTCCCGGGAAAGTAAAGGCGACCGGTGTGATGCTGACCACATCAACCATCTTGTGCCGATTGGTCTATAAAAATATAGGTCTAGCCCTATGTGCCCTAAACGCCTAAAGGCGTGAAAAGGGACCTTTACTTTTCTTTCACGTAGACATGTGTGGTGGAAGGTGATTAACTTGTGAGCGTCATTTCTGGTTATTCTCAAGGATTCTGTTTCACAAAGAAAAACTGACAAAGTGATGCTCTTGTAGAGTCTGAGTAGTGTTCTTCTGCAGCAAATGTTGGATTTCCAGATATGCCTTCGGACAGGTTGGCATCGCCACTGAAGAGATGACCAAATCGTCTCATCAGTGGCGATGCCAAGCTGTCAGTTATTTATTCTTTGTCTCTCCCCCCAACCCATGCTACCTTTTTTTCTTTACCTCTAAATTTCTTCTTGGCATGAGGCATGTCAGTTGTTCCCCTTTTTCTCATGAGGTGCTCAGCAAACTTGCACAATTTCGAACCATATTTCATTGTGATAAACAAACCTCAAGACACTAATGGGTGACACAGTCTGTTTGACAAAAGAGAATTTAACAATATTACCGACAGGCGAAAGACGAAAGACGTGACAAACGAGTATTTTACAACACTGCCAGCAGGCGAAGGACGAATAACTTGACAAATGAGGATTTAGCAAGATTGCCGACAGGCGAAAGACGAAAGTAGATTGCTATCAGAGATCGAGGAAAAGCCGAGAAGACAATTAATACTCAAACTGGAAGAGGTCAACATCAGGTGATTGACGTAAGATGGCAGCCGGTGTTCATTATAGGCAGGGAGAAGGTTCAGTCTAGCAAGGAACAAATGATGAGGAAAGTGTTCACACATTTATAAACAAAGAAGTTGATCGATGTCAATCGGGTTGTGCAGCTTCGAGGGAAACGTGATTTCTTTCATGGATGCATAGACACGCATGTATGCGCACACAGAAACGTAGAAAACCAAAGAGACAAGCAGGCAAACAAACAGTGAGATATACATACAAGAATTGTTATGTAGTTGGTTAATGAGATGTTTTTTAATGCCAACACAGAAGATTCTAAATACAAACCTGGAAGCAGTCATCTATTGACACAGCGGGTTCTCTCATTTGTTATTTAAATTGGTCCAACTTTGTTCATTGAATAATACATTCAAATTAAAACTCAGGAAATTAGGAAGATATGAATTTTGTTTTAACACAATAGTCTGAAACAGCGCGTAGTAATTAGTCTCTACTTGCGACTTCCGGGAACTATTTAGCTCAAAACAGACATTCTGACTTCTGACAGACTGATCTCAGATGTGTTATTCTAGACCAGGAAAGGATATTAATGAGGTTAATTGCATTATATTTTAAGGTAATTATTCTGTGACAGCTCTGTGGAGTTAGTAAAAGCAGCACTATGAGACAGTCACAGAGAGCTGCGCGGTATGGTATCCCCCGCGTGTGTTAGAGGTCCCGGGTTCAGACCTCAGTGAGGACTGGGATTATTTCAAGTGGACTTCAAGAAATTTTCCCTGGTCTCTGGGTAGTGAGATCAGACGCCTGTGTGTATTGTTGCTCACGTAAAAAAAAATACCTTGGCATTTAGAAATCGTAAAAAGAATAGCCTACCGAAGCTGCCCGAGTTACAAATCTACCTAAAGTATTTCAGGATCCTTGCCGATGCAACAGAGTTCGTGCACTGCGCTGCGCTGAGATTCTTAGGACTCAGGCTTGAAGTTAGAAGTAGAACGGGGCACTTAAGGGTTACACGCGTGTGCCATGATGTTAATCCGTTGAATAACCACAAACTGCTAGGTATACTATTATCTATTGGAGGTAAGGGATATCGATAGACAAATCAGCTGAGGCAATCTCAGCTTCGAACTATTTAGCCCAAAATCGACATTCAGATTTCTGACAGACTTGATCCCCCTTGTGTTAGACTAGACCAGGAAATTATAATAATCAGGTTGAATTGATTATTTCTGAGGTATTAAAGACAATTTCGACATATGTGGCTCTAAAATACCCGGTTTGGTTCAGTGGAAGCAGCTTAGTTGGCAGCAGACAGCTTCAAGTTGAATTGAACAATAAAATGATCTTCAACCGTTTGGGGGCAATGGCTAACTACTGAGGATAAGATTTCCTAAAGAAACCACGAGCACCCGATAGATGGAGCAGTTATTGTGCGACGTTCTGTACATGATCCATAACCAGAAGAAGGGAAAAAATAGGCGCATCTGAAATTCGCTGGCGAGAGTTCATCTCCCAGAGTCCCGTGTAGAGTTCATCTCCCAGAGTCCCCTGTAGAGTTAATCTCCCAGAGTCCCGTGTAGAGTTCATCTCCCAGAGTCCCCTGTAGAGTTCATCTCCCAGAGTCCCGTGTAGAGTTCATCTCCCAGAGTCCCGTGTAGCGCTTCATGTGGCTTCTGTTTTCCTTTATAGTTACCAGTCCGTGTGTCGGCGTCTGTGGTTTAGGGATTGCGAACACGCTTCTTAATGCCGGGGTGGCAAGTTGGATCCCAGCTGCCGCCGATTTTTCTTGCAGTGGTTTCGAAAGTGGTACCGACATCTAGCTGTTCAGACAGCAATGGCAAACTACTGAAGATAACACTTGCCAAGAAAACCCACAACAGCCAACAAATGCTGGGGTTTGTTCTGCAACGTCGTGTAAAGGATACACAAACCAGTCGATGTTGTTTGTATCATTGTTCTGTTGCCACAGCACGTTACAAAATTTCGGTAGCATATTTAACTATATCCATCACTATGTGCCATGCTGAACTACTCAGGCGAGTAAATATTTGTACAAACATGTATCCTCTGTCCTTAATAAGCACGACGGTTAGATATCCTCTGCCGTTCTGTCAGCCCAATCGACATTTTGGTATCTTTCTTCCCCGGCATCGATACAGAATGATTTGTTTATACCCTACCCCAAATAAGGGAAATGCACAAGTTACGGCACAGTCTAATATTTTAGGGGGTGGTACATAGGCTGCATGCCGTCGTGGGACCTAGGCTGCACTGTCTCGTGGGACGTAGGTGGGTTGGGGTTAGGGCCAGTTCTAGATGTTTTGAGCTCGTTAAACTCATCAGAAAGCCGGAAAACCCAGTCTTATCACCCTTTAAAATGTTGGACTGTCCTGTGACGTCATCTGGGTGTGGGATAATAATAAAGAACCTTATATAGGAACATGAAAGCCTATTTCCAAAGGTCAGGCTTGATTCTGTACACCAGAGTTACTCAACTGTCGATCTGTGAGCCTTTCAAGTGCGCGACGATCCCACTTATTAACATATCGTCTTATCTTAGTGGGGCGGCTGCACATTCTTCAAATGCGTTGCACCGTCTTGCAGACAGCAAAAGTTTGTACTGGTAGAGAAGCTAAGGCTGGCTGCAAAGAACCGCTTGGCAAAAGCAACTCTAGTGCTTCTTCCATTTATCGTCTGCGCTGCTCTAGAACTTTATAGAAGCAAATCGGATTTATCGGCTATCTGCGTATTGTGATATCATTGTCACGGTCACTCACAACAAACCATAAAAGAAAATTAGTAACCACGAAAATGAGATGTCTGAGAAGGGCTATAGGAGTGACCATAAGAGATAAGATCAGGAATGAGATCATAAGAGAACAAGTCGGCACAGAACCAATTCTGGATTACATACAAAGACAGCAAGTGAAATGGTTTGCCCTCTTAGAGAGAATGCCTTGTGACACCATACCATACTAAGCAAACATGGAAAGAGAAGAAGGACGTAGAGCAAGAGGTAGACCAAGAACAACATGGAAGGATAACATCAGAGAAACTCTACAACAGCACGATGTGCCTATGGTCGAGGCGGCCAGAAGAGCTAGAAACAGAACCTTATATCTCCCTCGACACCCACAGCGGTAAAAGAGGAAGTGAAGAAGAAGAAGAATTGCCTCTGTTCTCCCCCATCTTAGATATGGTCACTTTCAACAAACCAGAAAAGTGTGAAGTTTAAACAACGGACAACATTCTGGCACACTGGTAATAACCGATAAGTGCTTCGATCTTCTCCTAACTCCAGTTTGAATCCGAAGAAGCTTCGCACAGTGCACGGACTCTGTAGCACCGGCCAGGATTCTGAAATACTTCGGGTAGAATTTTAACTCAAAATTTTGCCTAGTAGGCATGTGCATACATGATTATGAACTTGCAATGTGCAACATGTCTGTTCACATCCTTGCGTATTGTAATGCCACTAATTTACAAAACATATATTTTAATATACTATTGCGTTACATTGTTTCAAATCTTCTCTGTTAGCCTTCTTCTGCATCTTTTTCCTTCCATCTTTCCTTTTCGGCACAATTAATAATTGTAATGCATTATTCCCTAATAAATTGCATTTTTATGTGACTGATTTCTTGTGTCTTTTTATTTTTATTTTCAGGAAATATTTTTAGTATGTTTTTTTGGCCTCGAGTATGTAATTCGTCTCTGGTCAGCAGGCTGCCGTAGTAAATACATGGGCATACGGGGTCGTATACGATTTGCCAGAAAGCCTATCTCCATCATAGGTAAGCAGCAGTTAAATAACATTTCATTGTCTGCGTTTGTTCCCTGAAATCAGTATACTTGCACTAATGATCTGAGTATTCCTGATAATGATTAAAGTGATTTGTGCTGTTTCTGTTCCGTGTGGTGCCTGAGCTGTGTCCAATAGCTGCAGACTTTCTGAATAAAAGCGGTCATTGATATTCCACGTGGTGCAGAATTTGACAGTCAGGTCCTTTTGTGTTTCCGAATGGCGCAATTTTACACTAGTGCTTTGTGTTTGTGGCGATCAATATCAACCGTGCAGTGGATATGGCGGGATTGTTCAGCTGTGATCTTATCGACTTTACCATTCATTTACAAGCCCACACATTTTTTTCTCTCCCTGACACAGTATCATTTTACCAGTCTTTCGCCCTAACACAGTATCATTTTACCAATCTATCTCTCTAACACAGTATCATTTTACCAGTCTGTCTCCCTGACACAGTATCATTTTACCAGTTTGTTTCCCTAGCACAGTATCATTTTACCAGTCTGTATCATTTTACCACTCTGTCTCCCTGACACAGTATCATTTTACCAGTCTGTCTCCCTAAACAGTATCATTTTACCAGTCTGTCTCCCTGACACAGTATCATTTTACCAGTCTGTCTCCCTAAACAGTATCATTTTACCTGTCTGTCTTCATGACACAGTATCATTTTACCAGTCTGTCTCCCTAAACAGTATCATTTTACCAGTCTGTCTCCCTGACACAGTATCATTTTACCAGTCTGTCTCCCTAAACAGTATCATTTTACCAGTCTGTCTCCATGACACAGTATCATTTTACCAGTCTGTCTCCCTAAACAGTATAATTTTACCTGTCTGTCCCCATATACTGTATCATTTTACTAGTCCGTCTCCTTATACCGTATCATTTTACTAGTCTGTCTTCCTCAACAGTATCATTTTACCAGTTTGTTTCCCTAGCACAGTATCAATTTACCAGTCTGTCTTCCTAAAACAGTATCGGTTTACCAGTCTGTCTCCTTATACCGTATCATTTTAACCGTCTGTCTGTGTAATAGTAATCACTTTGTAGCTAATGTCAATCAATCAAGCGCCGTCTTCACAATGAAGGTTGCCTGTAAAGGCTCTAAAACACTGTCACTCTCCCGCTTGCACATTATCAGAGACTTCTTTGTATGTCTCGGAAGTCATTATCCCACTTGTATCACTGTTCTCCTTCTGCGTTTTATCTTCAACTCTTTCCTGCATTATGACGTGTGTGTGTGTGTGTGTGTGTGTGTGTGTGTGTGTGTGTGTGTGTGTGTGTGTGTGTGTGTGTGTGTGTGTGTGGCAGGTTTAAATAATCAGTAAGAGTTTTGGGTTGACTGCACTAGAACTGCAGCCTTAAATCCTCAGACTCAAAGATCTACCTGTCTACAAGGCAACATTGTAAGTACTGGTAGTCCTATATGATCTTTTCATTTCCTGTTTTTGTTTCGAAAAAATAAATAGCCTATCCTTCTGTGTATCCCCATCTTCTCAACCATGTTTCCATCTCCTAATTGCTTGTTCCTTGTCCATGTTTATTCTTCGTGCAGATTTTTGAGTAAACGATGCATTTAAAACTTCTTTGTTAAGTGTGGTATTTTTGTGCAAGCATTTCAGTTTTCTCCTGTTTGTTTGTTGTTTCTATTTTGCTACTGCAGTCATCAAATTTGTACACGTCTAGAAGAAAAGAAAAATTTATTAGCCACCAGATCTAAGCACACCAAAAGCCAGACCCCACCATCCTATATAATTCTTAGAGGTGGAGGGAGCGGGGACTGGGGGACTTCCCACCCCCACCCCTTTTTTTCCCCTAAGTAAATCTACGATGTCTGCGTGTCTCTGTTTGTGTCGGTTTATGCGTATGCCTGTATGTCTGTGTGCGTATGTATGCGTACCTGCGTGTGTATCTGTGTGTTTCCCTGCCTGCGTGTGTGTATGTGTTTGTGTGCGTAACTGTGACTGTATGCGTGTGTGTCTGTGTGGGTTTATGTATGTGTGCGCCGGACGTGTGTGTTTGTATAGGTCTTTTTGTGCGGCTACGTGTATGTATGTATGTGTGTGTGTCTGTGTGGGTTTATGTCTGTGTGCGTCGGACGTGTGTGTTTGTATAGGTCTTTTTGTTCGGCTACGTGTATGTATGTGTGTGTGTGTATAGCTGTGTGTGTTTATATGTGTCTGGGTAGTATGCATGTGTGTTTTAGAGCGTATGTCTGTGTGGGTGACTGTATGTAT